GCTAAACAGTGATGTCTCTGTCTGCTGCTCCTCAGCTGGAGATACATTATTATATTCCTCACAAAATTACAAAATCATGTTACACAGGGGCGTAAGCTAACTGCAGTTTTATCTGTTATGTTCTGCTAGGTTACCTGCCTTCATTGTGATTGAATACTGTTATTTCCCTGTTACTCTGCATCTGACTTTTTATAAGATTAGGGGGCTGTTTTAGGGGTTTTATTCATGTAGGAGACACCAACGCCTACTTTTTTTTCCGCCCCTAAATTTTCACCAAAACCATTAAGGGTATGAAAACAGAAACCGTATGTTAAGTACCGTTTGCCAGTGGGCTGTTAAAATATTTTTTGTAGCAGTAATATTTTAGATGTCCACTAGAGGTCACAACTTTACTGTGAACGCAGCATGGACTTTGGCTGGGGAGCCTTTGGTCCTGTGCTAAACGTGCCAGTAAAAAAACCCCATAAAGTAAAATGAAGAGGTTTGCAGGCGAGCCTTTTCATGCTATGGAAAGCAGGGGTAAGTGGCACTGGCGTTATAACTCTGCTGCCAAATATAACGGCAAAATCCACTAATTCATGTCTGTGTACTGCTGCCATGTGATGATGTTCCCACCCTGATCTATGGGATGGCTTCAGGCCCTTGACAGCAGATCCACCAGAGGTTCTGGTGCCTACCGGCTTTCCACCAGATGCATAGATTATCCTGAGCTGCCTTGACAGAAGTGAATTTTACTGTTTGGTACTTGATACACCTAAGCATGCTCAAGTGCCCTGTAGCAATGGAAGGTGTAACTTCCACTTTCAGATGGGAACGTTCAGCACCCTTACTCTTGTCTTCACAGCCAGGAATGTTGAAAAACACAAAGGGTATCTAATTTATTTATTTATTTATTTATTTTCTTTCATGGATGTATTAAAAACATGGGAGAAAAAGACCAAGAAAGCAAGTAGTGGAGCCTGACCCCCATTTCAGTTTGCCTATTAGACATCACAGGTTTCATGTCTGCGGAGCTGACGTTTTCAGAATAGGGACAAGACCTGGGCCAGGCACTGTTCTCCTTCCTGCACCTCCTCTTCTATATGGGAGGCCTGCTGCCGATGCTGTGGTTGGCAATAAGCTGGATCAGGTGTCTGGTAATGCTTTGTGGCCTTCTGCACCATCTGTGCGAGGAGACCCAGGAATAATGGGGCAAACTGAAAAGTGTGGTGACAAGAAGCCCTAACTCCAGGGTGTTGTGGCATTAAGCCAAAACTGGAAGCTTGCACGTGAAAGGACTAACATGTTAATATGCTTCCATACACCAGTTTATCATTTAGGTGCTTACATATGTTACCCTACTACTTGGGCCTACTAATTTCGATCCATTTTAAGTAACTTTCATTTCCACTTAACGGGAAACTCACCAAAGTCATAATTAGAATTAGCATCTTTCAAAGCTCTGAGTCAGCCCTGGATTTTCCACCTGTTTCATTGTGCACTGAAACTGTAGCACATCAGAAATAGGCCCTTCAATACATCTAGGAGACGTACCATTTAGTGTGTCTAACCCAATTTCATGAGAAAACCTAAAGCTGCCATTTACAACTCAAGCTATTCTTCAGTGTTCCTCCCCATTTATATATTTAGAGAAATAAAAAAAGAGGCAGATGTATGAAGGATTTTTACCTTCTGAGAATGAATGGCACGTGCTGCATATACTATGCTCATTCCAACAGGAGGACACAATTGACATTTCATGAGTACAGACCGGGATATAATTTTCTGGAAGCTTCTCATGTGTTTTTTAAAGAATACAAACTAAGGATTTATGCCCTGCTCAAGCAAATTCACTGGTGTGAGTTCAGCCAAGGGAACTCAAGAATGCCTTTGCTCGCTGGTAGGGTGAAAAAGATCATTAGGCTTGGGAATTGGTGGTTACAGCAAAGAGTTGTCTCCCTGGTCCTGAGAGCTCCGTAGATATCACCTGAGAAACATTCTTGAAGAGCTCGGATGTATCTGGCAGACCCTGCTGTTGTCATCAGTTTAAAATGGAAGCTGACTAAGAGATTACTGCAGAGTCCAATGCTGTCACCTGTAGTAATGCCTGGGATGCTAACTAGAAACAGCCTGTAGTGAGTTTGCGTGGCAGGGTTTTGGTAGTAGGGGGTTTCTGTGAGAAGCTGCCAGAAGCTTCCCGTAGGTCCGACAGAGCCAATGCCAGCTGGCTCCAAGGCAGACCCACCGCTGGCCAAGGCCAAGCCCATCAATGATGGTGGTAGTTCCTCTGCGATAATGTATTTAAGAAGGAAAAAAAAACCCTGTCGGGGAACAGCAGCCAGAGAGAGAGGAGTGAGAGGATGTGAGAGGAGCAGCCTTGCAGATGACAAGGTGAGGGGCAGGAGGTCCTCCAGGTGCTGGAGCAGAGATTCCCCCGCAGCCCCTGGTGCAGCGCCTGGTGGGGCCGGCTGTGCCCCTGCAGCCCAGGGAGGCTCATGGGGGAGCAGATCCCCACCTGCAGCCCAGGGAGGACCCCACGCCAGAGTGGGTGGATGCCCGAAGGAGGCTGTGACCCTGTGGGAATCCTGCGCTGCAGCAGGCTCCTGGCAGGGGCCGGGGCCCCATGGGGAGAGGAGCCCAGGCTGGAGCAGGTTTGCTGGCCGGGCTGGTGACCCCGCAGGGGAACCATGCTGGACCAGTCTGCTCCTGAGGGGTTGCACCCCGTGGGAAGGAGGGACCCACGCTGGAGCAGTGCGTGAAGATCTGCAGCCCCTGGGAATGACCCAGGCTGAAGAAGTTCATGGAGGACTGCGCCCTGTGGGAGGGACCCCAGGCTGGAGCAGGGGCAGAGTGTGAGGAGTCCTCCCCCTGAGGAAGAAGGAGCAGCAGAGGCAGCGTGGGATGAACTGACCTCAACGCCCATTCCCCGTCCCCCTGTGCTGCTTGGGGGTGGGGAGGTGTTTTAAGATTCAGGGTTTTTTTTTTTATCCTCTCGTACTCTGATTTTATTGGCAATAAATTAAACTAGTTTCCCCAGGAAGAGTCTGTTTTACCCGTGATGGTAACTGGTGAATGATCTCTCCCTGTCCTTATCTCCACCCTCGAGCCTTTCAATATATTTTTTTCTCTTCCCTGTCCTGTTGAAGACGGGAGTGATAGAGCAGCTTTGGTGGGCACCTAGTATCCAGCCAGGGTCAACCCACCACACAGCTGGAAGTAGAAACAGAGCAAGCTGCTGGAGTGTCTCAGTTTGAGAAGTGCTTCTGAAACAGTGGTGCTCAAAGAGGCCAAAACTGTGGTGCAGGCAGGGTACGCCATACATAGGGTCATGGATAAGCCGCGGTCAATCTAGGACTCCCAGGGAACCACTGGAAAGGACATCCCTGAGGCCTGGGTTTAGACTCATCGGAAAGGGGATGGCGTGACTGGGGGCGAGGGAGCAGGGAGGGTGACCAATTACAGAGCTTTGCTCTCTACACCCTGCTGGACTCGGTCCAGCCCGGTTCTGGAGTAGACATAGCTCTACCTCAAGGTGGCTCTCCATGACCTCTGTGAGATGCCTTGGTGCTGGTCTGCAGAAGTTACTGGGTGGACAAGCGCTAAACTGGCAGCCTCAGCTGAGGTGTCAAGAGATTGAAGGGACCTGAGAAGTGATTTATACTTTAATATTTAGGCCATATTTACGGTGGGAAAATTTTTTTCACTGTTGCTTGGTTTGCTGACAAAGAGGTCCAGATCCGAGTTCAGCAATCATACATGTTTCACACTGAGTTGATTTTAAAGGCTGCACTCGAGCTCACGTTACTATCTGAATTAGACCTACTTTTAATAAAGCTCGACTGAAAAGAATCCCTATTTGCTGGAAAAAAAAATTAAAAGGTTAGGATGATAGGATAACACAACCCAGAAGGGACCTCAGGAGGTGTCCTCCTTGCAGCAGGGTGACCAGAGAGCTCAGACCAGGTCTCTGATGGCTTTGTCCCACTGGGGCTTGCAGCCCTGCAAGGATGGAGTCTGCACGGCCCCCTGGGCAGCCGGCTCCGCGGCTCGGCTGTCCGCAGGGGAAAAGGGGTTTCCCTGACATCCCGCCTGAGCCTCTCCATCCAGCTTATGCCCATTGCCTCGTCTC